AGGAAAACTGGTAAGAAGAATGGTAATAGTTACTAAAGCAAATACTTCACTTGGACCTCACATAGAGCCACCTCTGTGCCCAACACTTTTCCAAGCACTTTACAGGTGCTAACTCAAGTAATTCTTATAACCCTGTGAAGTAAGTATCATCATTATGTCCATTTTACAGATGAGAAAACTGAGGCACAGACCTGCCCAAGATCAGCAGAGCTGGGACCTAACCAGGCAGCCTTGCTCTGGAGTCTGGGCTTCTTCTTACCAGCACTCTGCACTGCCGGCACCAGGACAGGTGGTACTGCAGCTCCCGTCCTTGAACTGCCCCACCAGGCATGTGTGAGCACACTCAAAGTCTCCTGAAAGCTCTGCACAGCAGCTCTGTGTCTAACTCCAATTAACACATGGAAAGACTCACCCCACCTCAGTAGCCAGAGCATGTGGCCCTCCAACGTAAGAGCACGCCAAAATCACCCGGAAGGTTTGTTTAAACACAGCTTGCTGGGCCCCACCTCTGTAGGCTCAGATTCGGCAGGTCTTGGGTGGGCCCAAGATTAGCATTTCTAACAATTCCCAGGGGATGCCAATGCTGCCGGTGGGGGCTACCCCGGCAGGCCGCCTGGCCCAGCATACAATGGACACTCGGTGCAAGAGGTGGGTATCGGCCACTGCAGGCACTTCCTGGACATCTAAGGCCCGTCTGGCTGCTTGATTTCAGAAACTAGCAGAACTCGTGAGATCAAGACCCAGCTCCGAGTTTCACAGCTCCAGCCTTTCGCACTGGCCCAGAGGCTTGGAGGAGTCCCTGGTGCTCAGCTGAGGCACACGGAGAGGTTCAGAAATATTTTTGGAAAGAAAACCCACAGTGGAAGAGGAAAATACAACAGCATTTGGACACTTTCAGTGTAAAGCAATGAGACATCTGAATCCAATTGCCTTTAAAATTACACCATTTTATAAAAATTAAAGAGGGGGAAAAATTCTGGGCCAAAATGTGTTTTTAAAGATTTATGGCCTCTAAAGTGTTAGCACAACAGCAAAAGACGCTGGGAAGGAACCCACCTTCCGCAGCTTCTGCCGTCTGTTCCTCCAAGCTACTCCCGCCAGATGATTAAACTTACCTCTCCCCAGTCTGACCACAGGGCCACTTTTTCCTCTGATCGGTACTGGCCCTGCCCTGCTCTGCTCTGCAGACATGTTTCTCACACACATTTTGGCACAGGGAGGTGGCGACTCTGCGTGGAAACCCCCAGCCCCCAGCAGGTCCAGCCTCACAGACTCCTAAGGTAAGTCGGGTATCAGAGGCCAGTCAAGCCAGGTGACTTTGCAAATAAGTCATGGCCCCAGACCTCAAAGAACTGGCTGTCTGGAAGACAGCAGATGCCATCAGTGCCTGGGACAGATGAGGGAACCGAGGCACAGTGACACATGAGGAGACACTCCAAAGCTGGACCCTCACCCCAGAGTGTCAGTGGGGCCCAAATCACCCCCGTGCAATCAAAATAATCTAAAAGCAACCAGTAAGAGGCAGGAGCCCCAAGCCCCAGGCCCAGCTCTCTGCTGAAGCATCTGGTAACCTCGGGCAAGCTTCATTCCCACTCAGGCCTTGGGCTGGCCGCTCAGGAATCAGCCTGCCGCGCCCCCACCTAGCACCAGGAGCTGCACCACTGGGGACTCCCACCTCCCTATGTGCCCTCCTCACTCGAGACCCACACTCGCCTTCCCTTCCCAAAGGGACTGGAGATCATTTTCCCCCTGCTCTTTTTCACTTAACATGAATATTAGAACATAAGCACGTTCCCTTCTGTAATTATAAAGTCCCAACGAACATTTTCAACAGCTACTATGATGTTCCATTCAAGATGTTCCACAGCCTGATCCATCGATCCCCTATTCACGAACAGCTAGGCCGTTTCCAGTGTTTCATGGGTATAAATAATGCAGAAATGAAATCCTGCCTGCGGGTTCTCTGTTAGAGCCAACCGGAGTCACACAATTCTAGAGGTGGGACAGAAGCACCTGGACAGGTGACCGTGGGGTAGGGGAGGCTGGATGAGGGGCCAGAAGCTGGGACCTACCCCCTCTCCCCACGGATGTATAAGAAGCCAGGAAACTGTAAGCTGGTGTGAACCATCCCTTTCTGCCAGACAGTGCAGATCACGGTGAGGACCATGCGGACTATGTCACGGGGTTGGAAGGAATGAACTGGGCCTCAGAGAAGCCAGGTGTCTGAGTGGTCACCCTCACAACTACAGGGGAATCAATTCAGTCACACCCCTGCCCCGGCAAACAGGCCTCAGACCAGCCCTCCCGGGTGGAGATGGTTCTTCCACCTTCTCCAGAAACAACTTAGGAAGGTGCATCCCTCGACTAGCAGTTCCCAGCTCCCTGCACCCTCGCCACAGCCCGGCGCGCACCCTGCAGCACCGACCCTCTCCCAGGCCTTGGCGCAGTCCGCCATGGCCCCACCACTGTCCACACCTGCCCCCACCGCCCCACAGGCAGTCCAGCTCCTCAGGGGCTGGGGCAAATGCTGCTGGTCCCCAAAACCTTACTCCTTGGCCTTGCTCCTGACTGATCCCACACTTTCTCCTACACCATTCAGGGCCCCAGGAGACCCTTAGGTGCCCTCATGCCAGGCCCAGCACCAAATGCTGAGACTCAGAGCTGAGCACCACAGCGTCCCCACCCCCAAGGGGAACCCATGCCAGCCACCCGCTGCCGCCTGGCACCTCCTTCTGCACCTACGTGCCGGTCTGCACTCCTGCAGGCGGGAGGCCCACATCGGAGGCGCCCTGGAGCCTTCGGGGGACTTGGGCTGTTGAGTGCAGGAGGATTCTCGCTCACAGCACCTCGGCCACCATCCATAACATTTAAGGAAAATCCGATGTTGTGAGATCATAAAGACTGTGATCTTTATGGCAAATCCCCTCATGACACAGACTAGAAAACCAGGACCCAGGCGAGTGCCCTTTGGGCTACACCACCAGGCCCCCCTCACCCCATCCACAAACGCAGCTGCCATGGCCCACAGCACTCGGCCTGCCCCAAGGTGTCCTGCTTTGCTCCGCACAGGGAAAACTGCTCTCCCCTGATCCGGGAGGACCCTTTCCAAGGAAGCGGCTCAGAGACAGGGGCAGGGAGCAGTGATGGGTGAGGAGGCTCCAGGGTCCCCGTGACTCTCCAGCAGCAGACACACCTGGCCTGAGACGGAGGCCCACAAGCCACCTGCCCTGCAGTAACAAGGCTGTCCTAGGTCCAACCCATCCTCTGCTGGAACCTCATCAGCCCAGCTGATCTTGTCCCAGGCAACAAGGGGACAGAAGTCTGTGGGGGTGGGCACAGAAGACCTCCTGGTTGGGAGTGAGGGTGGGTAGAGTGGGGTGGTGGGTGCCTCTGTGGCTGCTGTACTCCAAGCTCTGGGCCTCCTGCCTGACACCGCCCCTCCCGCCCAGATCGAGAATCCCTCAAGCATCTGTTGTTATTGCACCGACAGTGACAACCAGGTCTGAGGCTAGAGGGGCTTCCCCCCAATTACATCCTAATTACTGTCTAATTACTGCCTAAGTCTATGCTCCGCACAATTTACATCAGTAAATTGTGCCACGGCAGTTCATGATCCACTCATGGCTTCGGAAAGGCAGGCAGCTGACAGGGTCCCGCTGAGAACCCTGGGCAGGCCAGAGATACTCGCAGCTCATGCGGGACCCAGAGCATCAGGCAGAGGGACAGTGTGAGGCACTGCCACAGGCCAGGGAAGGGCCCGACCCAGGGAAGGAACAGGCCCCGCAGCACAGGAACCAGGCTCGGGCTCTCTGCCTCGCCTCCTCCCCACTGCTTCCCGGTGTGCTGGGCGGCCTTCGGTTCCACCCCCACCCCCCGCGACCCCCTCCTCACAGAGGGAGGGCGCAGAGAGCCCCTGCCCAAGGGGACGGGGTCAGGGACATTGCCCAGGTCAGGAGGCCAATGCCCACCTCCCCGGGGACGCCCACGGGTTGGCTTCAGATCTTCCTGTCCTGATTTGGGCCACACATCCCAAGTTAGAATCACAAGGAAAATAAAAATAAATGCAATAACAATGACCTCCATGTCCACGAGTCCACTCTTAGAAACACGCCTCCTAAGCCCCCAAGGGTCCTTCCATTTCCCTGGGCTCTGGCCCCAAGCCGCGCGGCTGGACAGACGTGCCTGACCTACTGAAGCAGGGGTGCGCTTTATGAGCCCCCGCAACTGTGTACACGTCGAAGTGTGAGGGCGCTGCCCCGCACCACCCCGCAAAGGCGCTTCCTCCCCTCACTGCTCCCTGAGCTGAGCCCGGCGGCAAGAGCAACAGGCCATGACTAAGCGCACTTGAATAAAAAGGGAGAGAAAAGAAATCTAAGTCTCTCCATTCCTCAGAGACAGAAATAGTTCTGTGGCCTCCAGATGGACTACGCAGACACAGGGGAGGTCTCGCCTTCCAGCCAAACTTTCCCAACGGGATGCTGGCATGGGTGGACCAGTGGAAACCAGAAAGTATTTCTCTTTAGCGCAGTAAAATGAGAGGCTGTGGCTCGGGTAGTCCCTTCTGTTATAATTAACTTGGCCAGAAATTCACCTAAGATACTAAATTCTGTACCTGGCCCTCTAATTACAGCCAGAAGGCATCAGGAGACAATTACTTTCCAAAATAGTCCTTGGCGGGCAGGAGGCAAGAAGGAGTTCTCCGGGCACATCTCAAATGCGCCAGCTGCACGCACCCCGGGCTGCCCGCAGCCACGGCGCCCTCCTCCCCTCCCTCCCTCTGCTCCTGCTCAGGCCCCGCCCGCCCCGTTTGGGGTGGCCAGACCTCTGCAAACCTGCAGGCCACCGTCACAGCGCCTGGGATTCCCAGCAGCAGGGGCGCCCTCCTCCTCACCCTCCATAAACCCAGCACGCTCCCCGACACGGACCAGCACTCTAATTAAATCCTAACGGGCTCGTGAAAAACACCCTGCTGCCCTCCAAGTGTGCGAGACAGAAAGTACCTCCTTGGGCAGCTACAGCCGCTGCCGCCGCCGCCGCCGCGGCCACCGCCAGAGGAGAGGCCTTTTTGCCGGGGTCGGGGAAGCCGCTGGCCTCCAGGATCGCACTTTTGGCTTCCTGCTTCTCCGCGGCAGTGGCTGAGGCAGACGTCTCCATCTCAGCCGCTCATCGTCCCGGGTGGCAGCCCTAAAAGAGAAGACAAAGGCGCTCACCAACACTGCGCCCAAACCCGACCCAGATTCACGCCGCCGCCCGCGTCTAAAGAACCAACTTCATTCTAATTCTCTTGTAATTGGGAAGGAGGGTTTAATTAATTTTGAGAATTACTAGTCCTGAGATTCATCTGGTCTTCCGAACAACCTCACGGACAACTGCTGGGCATTTTCGTCTTTTACCCAGATTTTTAAAATCTAAGCAACAAGTTCCTACTGATGTGAGCGGCGCCTGGCGAGAACTGCCTTGACAAATGAAGTCAGAAGTAATGACCTCCAACTCGGGGTCACAGGGAAAATACAAATAAACATAGTAGGGACAACCTAGAGGTACTCGAAGAAAGGCCCTGGTTTGCTGTCGCCTCCTTGCTCACCAGATCCATCCTTCATGTATTCATCCCTTCGCCCATTCGTTCAACAAATTTTCACCCTTTATGGACTCACACACACTCAGTCAACACATCGTTCAGCCCGTGACACACCAGGCATCACCGGAAGATGCAGGACGTGCAGTTCGCGTTCTGCTGGGGAGACAAATAGGGGAAGATAAGTGTAGCTCTGATTTCAGTTAGCAGGAGGTGGCGGGGAAAAGAAGGCAGAGCAGCAGCACAGGGAAGGACTGGAGGGGCAGAGGGTGGCACCGCCCTGCCTCTCGGAGGTGGGGATGGGATGCCCGCTCGAGGGGCCACCCTGCGACAGCCAGAGGGTGGAGGCAGGAGCCAGGGCCCATGGGAGGAGGCGGCTTCTGCGAGGAGTGGAGAGAAGGGAAGTGCAGGCGTTGCGGGTTTGAGCAGGGCAGGGGACAGGACGTGCCCCCGGAGTGAAGGGATCACTCCGCCGCTGTGCAGAGCGGACTCTGGGGGGACGGAGAGCACGACGGCAATGACCCAGGGAGATGTGGTGTGGTTTGGGTGGAGGGGGCAGTGGTGCAGCTGGTGAAACGTGGACACGTCCTGCAGGCAGAGCCGACAGCCCGACAGACTACGGGCGGGATGTGGGGTAGGAGGGAAAGAAGCAGCGGCGTGGTTAAGGGAGCAGCGCCCGGCAGGACACAGGACACAGGGCACAGGTCATGATGTTCTGTCTCCGGCCAGGTGGTGGGTCATATGCACACATTTTTCTTACACGCTTCGCCACTTGCAGACACTGCTAACACAGTATTTGTATCATATACTACAGAACAGAAATCCGAAAGTCACATTTTTTCAGAAGGAAGGTGGCGTCGAAGACAGCTCACATGGTTGGCTGAGCACCTGGGTGAGCGAAAGGTGGTTCCGGTTACCCAGCCCCAGCCAAGCAGGCGAGGAGCGGGCTGGGGGCAGACCAGGAGCGCAGGTGGGGCCACGAGAAGTTTGAGATGCCTTCAGAGACCCACAGGGGTGGCATGGAGCAGGCTGTTGGGAATGAGAGTGGGAGTTCAGGGCAGGCCTGGAGGCTAAGCTGGGACCTTGGCAGCCACTGGGCAAGATCTCTAATGGATGAGAGGTGCGGGGTTGGAGGAGAAAAAGCTCCAGCCCTGAAACCCGGGGAGTGCGGGGGGAGCAGATGGCAGTCAAGGCGAGTGAGTAGGAAGGGCCAGCGGGGGGAGGTGGGGAAGGAAAAAACAACCAGGGGAGTGTGGGGTCCTGCGAGCCGACCCAAGACAGACGTGCATTCAGGAGCACGAGCGATCACTCCCTCGCAGGCCACTGAGAGCAGGGAAGTTCCTGTCGCCTGGTGGCAATCAGGGCCTGGGCAGGGGCAGGAGCAGGTCAGACGCGGGTGGAAACAGAGGCACAGGCAATTTTGTCAGGAAGTTTCTCCATCAAAGAAGCAGAGAGATGGGACAACAACCAGAGGGGATGTGGAGTCCAGAGGTCCGGGCTGCTGTACACGGAAGGAGGCAGGCGTGGGTTCCCGTGCCTATGGGGAGTCCTGCGGAGCTCGTGGACCCAAGGCAGCAGGCAGCTCCATCCCCAGGGGCCTCAAAGCTAAATCGGCAAAATACTCCGTGTCTTTCTAAGCAGAAAATCAGAGTACACAAGAGCAATGAAGAGGGATGCACGAAGGAGGTCCCAGTCCCTGTAGGCTCCTGGCTGCGTCTGCACACACCAGCCTGTCCAGTTTTCACAGTATTTCAAAACTCCCTCCTCAGAAAGCCCAAAAAAGTCAGGCAGATGGGAGAAAAATATCCCTGAAGACTGTAGCGGGTTTCCTTTGGCCTAGAGATTCAGGGATTGCTGTGCGTTCTTTTAAGGCCATTTTTAAAATCTGTCACTTAAGACTTAGCTATCTGAATGGCCCACCAGCAACATACCCTGGCCCGCACCTGCCTCTCCTCTGCCCCGAACCTGGCCACAGGCACTATGCCACCCAAGCACCTGTGAGCACCCTGGGACCTCCTTCCTCCTCCCCGCTCCCCTACAGCCGATTGGCTGTGACCACCACCACTCTCCCTTCCACCTCCCTCGCCGGTGGCACCTCTCCAGGCTGGCTGCTTCGTGCCAGGCACTCTTCCCTCTGGATCCTGGCACCTCTCATATTCTGGTCCGCTCCAGGTCATCCCCCACCCTAGTGCCAGGTAACATCCCAAAAACCAAGTCTCAACCTCGTCCCTCCCCTGCCCAAGGCCCTGCTGGCCCCACCCCTGCGCAGAGCCAGGCCTCCACTCGAGCCATGCCACCCACCGGAAACCCTTCATCGTTCTGTGTTTGATGAACTACTCCTCCTTCCAGATGCCACTCAGACATCACCTCCTCTGGGAAGCCCGGCACCCCTCCCAGCCCATGGTCCCTACCCAGCAGCCCCACATTATATTCATCTTCGCTTCCAGGCCGGGAGCTGCTCAGGGCAGCACCCTCACAGCCCGGCCCAGGCTGGCACGGGGCAGCAGCTCAGAAGGCCTGCCAAGAGAGCGATGCAGGGACCCTTGAGGCAGAAAATCACAGCTCTTCTAAATGCGAGCGATTTTGTGGACAGCCTAGGTGTTCCCCGCAACAAGCTCGGGTGAGGGAATCTAAGCCCAACTTTCAAACAGACCTTGAATTTGGAAATAGGACAAAAATCAAAATAACGGCTGGAATAACAAACCTTTAATAAGCATTTACTGGGTGCCAAATGTTTTACGGGGGTGAGCTCATTTAATCATCAAAACATTTTATATAGAAGGAAACCAGTGCTCCAAGAGGTTGAATAAAATGCTCAAAGACACACTCCCTAGAAGTGGCTGTGCCAGGCCTTGAACCCAGGCTGTCCGGCCCCAAAGCCGTACTCTGGTGCATCACAGTGAGCTGTCGCTTGAGTGAGGACCCCACGTGTAAAGGGATATGCCCCAGAATTCCCTGGCAGGCAGTGGGGTAACCGGCTGTGGAGCCACCCAGGTGGGAGCACCGTGCCGGGGGCTCCGGGGGTCGCAGCAGGATTAGGCATGACCTAATGCCCCATCCAAGACGGCAAGATTGGTGTATGGGCACCCAGCCAAGGGCTGTGCAAAGGCTGAGGCTCTGTCTGGGGCTGCACTTGCAAATACCGTGGCCACGCAGGTGGCACCTGTGTGCTGAGGAAGAATGACACAGGGAGGAGTTTACAGTCGCACATTCATTCACTAACTTCCCTTCATGATTCTTTATTGTTTTACTGACAACTGGCTTCTTGCCTCACGCTGAGCTGGGCTGGGAGCTGGCTGGGCTTGTGGGCATTCTTCCCACACCTCCCCCAGACGAACCGGGTGTCCTTGCCTTAGGTTTGGACAGTGCCACGGCCCCAGCACCTGTCATACAGCCTGGTCATATCTGCTATGCACCCACCTGGCTCCTGGCTTGACTGTGACCTCCTGCAAGGCAGGGATGGGCCTTGCACTGCTCAGTCCCCACGCCAACCCAAAACGGTGCTTAGTCCTCTAGCCAAGGGGATAAGGTGGGCACAGGGAGCCAGGTCTGTGCCTGGGGGGCTTGGATCCCTGTGGACCAGAAACCAGCAAAGGACTTGAGGCACCCGCAGGAGCAGAGCATGTGGCCAAAACCTAGGGCTTGAGTGGCAAAGCCCCAGCCCCAGCCTCAGGGAGGGGTAGACAAGCTCTGGGGGGCAGTGATCCAACCCTCTTCAAATTCAGATGGAGAAACTGAGGCCCAACAGCTCAGAACACTTGGGACATTAGTATCCAGGATGCCAGGAAGGAAAGAGGCTTCAGAGGAGACTGTGACAACTTCTTTTAGGGACATAGGAGGCTGGGAGGAAGAGGAGGAAAAGGCTGTGGATGTTTTCCTAACAGCATGCCATGGTCCAAATGTTTGGGTACCCCCCCCCAAAAAAACTTATATGACGAAACCTAACCCCACAGCGATGCTATTAACAGCTGGGACCTTTGGGAGCTGGCCACAGGACAAGCGTCGCCATAAAGGAGGTGCTCCTTCCACCATGGGAGGATGCAGCTGGAAGGCTCCATGTGTGAGGAGCAGGCCCTCAACCACACAGGGAACCGCCTGGAGCCTCGATCTTGGACTTCCCAGCCTCTAGAACTGTGAGAAATAAATTTCCGCTGTTCATAAGTTACCCAGTCTACAGTGTTTTGTTAACGCCACCCAAACCGACTAAGACACAGCAGCTGCAGCTTCCTCGCCCCGACACCCTGAATTCTTAAAGGGGAAGAAGCTGAGTCGCCCACAGGGAAGTGAGCTGCCCAAGGCCACTCCCCAGGGAGGGAGAGGGCCAGGTCTACAGGCCAAATGCCTCTGGAGGCCCAAGGGTGTGGTCACTCCAGGAACAGGGTGAATGGGGTGAGGGAGGAAGGGCGTTGATTCAGATTCTGCCACCCAGACTGCGGCTCACAGAAGCACCTGGGGGTTCAGAACACCCCTGGAGATGATCCAGCAGGGGGTGGGGGATGCCCAGACAGCGCCTGCCATGCCCGTGGCGTCACCCTCTGCAGACCCGCCGCTGCCCTGCCTTCCAACGCTTCCTGGAGAGGAAGGCAGCAGACAGAGCCAAGAGGCTGCGTAAATCGCAGGAATTAG